TGTCATGTCCTTCCCCAGCGGAGCAGGAGCAGGTGGTGAGCAGAAGAGCTGTGCCACCAGAACTCCTTCCCTTCCCACCCTGGCTAACCAGTAATGCACTTTTATCTTTGCATAGCGGAAGCATTTCATGTATGACTTTTGCGTGTGACTTACTCCCCTCAATATAACGTTTCGAGGTTTATGCAGTCCTGTTGTAGCACGGCTGAGCCATAGTCCATTGCTGTGTTTGCACCACATTCTGTCCCGTTCTCTCCACCAATTGTCTGTCATACTGAGTGGCCTTTATGTTGCTGTGATGTTGGAAGTTATGTCACTGGTACTTCAAACGCCAGCAAGGGTACCCAGTGTCAACAAATGCCAGTGGCGCTTCCCGAGAAGAACAGACTACGAAGTACTCGGCTGCCCGCTTCAGAAGACGTGGCCACTGAAAACCTTATGCGTAGCATGGAAACACTGTCAGGTGGTGGCGGCCTAAGGAACAGGAGAACATTCTTGGAGCCAGGTACGGAGGATGGGCCCCTCAGGTCAGAAGGAACTGGAAGCGTGACTGAGGAGGAGCTGTTTTCTGAAAGTAGCCCATGGTGAGGTGAATGGAGTAAAGCCTGGGAGTGGAGCCGTCGCGCGTCACTTCTGATGCGGCCCAACTCAAAGTGAGACGACACAATCGCAAAAATCTGACAGAAAAGAGCCTATAACATAAGAAGTATGAATCTAGGAAAATTGGAAGTTGTCAAAAGTGAAATGCATAAATATTAATATCCTAGGTATTAGTCAGCTGAATAGGACTGGGATTGGTCATTTTTATCAGAAAATCATATGGCTTACTATGTTGAGAATGACCCAAGAGAAATGACATTGCATTCATAGTCAAAATGGATAATTCAAGATCTATTGTGAAGTACAATGCTGTAATAGGATTATAGCTATATTCCTTCAAGGAAACCCAATCAATACAATTATTCAAATCTATGCACCAGCTACAAAAGCTAGAGATGAAGAACAGAAGAATTCTACCAACATCTTCAGTCTGAAATGTATCAAACACACAATCAAGATGCATTGGCAATTAGAATGCAAAACTTGGGGGGTGGGGTGGGAGAAGGCACAGTAGTTGGAAAATATGGTCTTGGTGGTATAAACAAAGCTGGAGATCACATGATAGAATTTTGCAAGGCCAATGACTTGTTCTTAGCAAATATATTTTTTCAACAATACAAGCAGTGACTATACACATGGGCTTCTCCAAGTGGAATACACAGAAGCCAAATTGACTACCTCTGTGGGAAGAGATGATGGAGATGCTCAATTCTAGCAGCTAAAACCAGGACAGAGGCTGACTGTTGGAGAGACCATCAATTGCTTATATAAAGTTCAAGTTGAAGCTGAAGAAAATTAAAATAAGTCTATGAGAACCAAAATATAACCTTGAGTATATTCTACCTGGATTTCAATAACATCTCAAAAGAACAAATATCTGTCTTGGACAAAGTGTGATCAGAGTGCTCCTTAGAGGCAAGGCTGCAGAGCCTTCGTCTCAGGTACTTTGGACAGGTTGTCAGGAGAGACCAGTCCCTGGAGAAGGACAGAGTGCTTGTAAGGTAGAGGAATAGCAAGAAAAAGAAGGCCCTCGATGAGATGGAACGACACAGTGGCTGCAGCGATGAGATCAAGCTTGGGAACAATGCGAGGCTAGCGCCAGACCGGGCAGGGTTTCATTCTGCTGTGCATAAGGTCACTGTGGGTCAGAACCGACTCAGTGGCTCCTGACAACAACAGCATCCCTTGCTCTGCTGATGGACACAGGCGGTTTCCACTTTTTGCTCCTGTAATGGTGCTACAATAAACACTACTGTACATGTGTCTGTGTTTCAGCTTTTGGCTCTCTTGGGTGTACACCTAGGAGTGGAATTAGGGTCAAATAGTAATGCTATTTAACTCTTTGTGGAAGCCCCACACTGTTTGCTACAACACAGGCTGCCCTCTCCTTGGTCTCCATCCCAAGCCTTTGGCTCCTCTAAGAAGCACCCACAGCAGCAGTCTGTCCTGATAGCATGGCTGTCCTCTTCCCTCACAGTGCTCCCTATATCACAGTAATACCGCGATGGGGTTAAGAGAGGCAAAGCTGGGGACTGGCTGTGGAGGTTCACATTTGAGCTCAACTAACCCTGGACAAGTTATATTACTTCTCTTTGCCTCTGATTCTTCATTTTTAATGTATAGGCAGGAATACCTCCTTCATAGGGTGGTCATGAGGGTTAAATGAGACATGTATGTATATTATGCTCACTAGTACCCAGCACATAACCCACCCTCAGTACAATGGTGGTGCATGGTGGGTGGATGAACAGCTGTTAAAAAGTCCAATGATGCCTCTGCTCAAGTCCTCCCTCAATGCAAGAGCACTTTGTTCTGCTGACCTGGCATTCTGTGATGCTCACCTTCCCGACACAATCACTGAAGACAAAATGTGGTGAAGAAAGTTGATGGTGCCCGCTATTACAAGAGATAGCATCTGGGGTTTTAAAGGCTTGAAGTTAAACAAGCAGTTATCTAGCAGGGAAGCAACAAAGCCCACATGGAAGAAGCACACTAACACGTGTGATCACAGGTGTTGATGGGATTAGGTATCGGGCATCAGAAGACCCAAAGCAAACAACCATTTTGATGCCAATGAGGGGGATCTGAATGGAGACTCAAAGTCCCTCTGTAGATAATTGAACATACAGAATAGCATCGATGAAACACACGTTCCTCTAGTTCTTTAATGCTTCCTCCGGCCGCCACCCCATGCATTATGCCCCCAGTTCTAACTTACAAATCTGGCTAGACCAGAGCACGTACACTGGCACAGATGCAAGCTCTCAACACAGAATCCAGGACAGATAAACTCCTCAGGACTAATATTGAGAGCAGTTGATACCATGAAGGTAGGGGGAGAGTGGGAGGAGAAGGTAGAGAAAGGGAAAACTGATCCCCAGGATCAATATATAACCCCCAAGGAAGACAAACAATGTGGTGAAGGGAGACAGCAGATGGTGTAAAATATGAAAATAAAAATAATTTATAAATTATCAAGGGTTCATAAAGGTGGGAGAGTAGTGGGGGAAGGGGGAAAAAGAGGAGCTGATACCAAGGGCTCAAGAAAATGTTTTGGAAATGATGATGGCAACATATGTACAATATGTACAAATGTGCTTGATACAATTATATATGGATTGTTATAAGAGCTGTAAGAGCCCCAATAAAATGATTTATTGAGAAAATAAAAAGCCCAGTGCTTTGAAAGTTTCACATTTAAGTGTTCTGCTACCGCTGTCTTAATGTCCTAAATAAGTTTGGGACAAGGGCCCCAATTTCCCTTTTGTAGTGGATCTTGATGAGCAGCTGCCTGGGAGTCTTCGGCTGCAGCCTACTCTACGGGTTTTCCCTGCAATAGAGCTACACCCAAAAGGCTGCACAGCAATGCTATCACTGCTGGAACCAAGGCAAAGGTTAGAAACAGCTTAGCTTACGATGCAAATGCAGTATCGATACTGGGGAGAATCTTGGGTTTGTTGCATTTCCAGACCCCTTTTTTTAAGAGAAAATCCAAAGAGGTTAAATACTTTAAGATGCATTAAATCATCTAGGGGGCTTGCTAAAAACAGATTTCAGGGTCCCATTCCCAGAGTGTTGGATTGCTTAAATCTGGGGTAGGGCATGAGAGTGTGCATTTCTAACCAGTTCCCAGGTAAGGCTGATGTTGGTCCGGGAACCTCCCATTGGGAACCACTCACTGATGTAGAATTACCCAGCCTGTGATTGTAGTGCAGCAATTAAACCTAAGTATTTTGTGTTCTAACTATCTTCTTGGCTCAGGGTTGTAGCTTCTACCCTTAGCTGTAATTCTTGTATTTTCACTCTCTACCTGATCTCTTCTTGAAAACAATTTTATAATGAGCATTGAGCTTCCAGTAAAACGGCTTTTTATAAAACTTAGTATCCTGGCACTACATCCACTGCCATTGTGTCGATGCCAACTCATAGGATCCTGACTCTATAGGATAAGGTAGAACTGCCCCATGAGTTTCCAAGATGGCAACTGTTTACTGTTCTTTCTCTTACTCTTTAATTTTATCTTTATATTATTGTTGTTGTTTTCTTCTTCATTAAAAATTATTTCTGTTAGCTTTTCCAGTTTATGAAGCACAGAAGGAGTGGAGACAATAATTGATGAAATGGTTTCTGGGGAATAGGGTGGGGAGGGGGAGGGGAACTGGGGAGCAATCAGTGAATGTGGGAGGTGGGGGAGCATTAGAATGGATTGTGATGATATATATATAACTCTTAAAAAGCAATTCAACTATGAAAGTATATTATACTTGAATATTATATCAAGAAAACTACTAAAAGAAGAAGAAGAAGCCAAACTTGACCAATGGTTGGTTACCATGAGTGAAGGAGGAAGAGTTTTTGCTTATGGGGCATTTAATGGTGGTGGAACAATTTGGAGAGGGATATCAATAATGGTTGTACAACACAAAGAGTACAATCAACAGCACTTAATTAGACATGTAGAAGTTGTTGAATGGGAGTGTATTTTGTTGTATATATTTTTGCCACAAATGAAAAAATAATTACACGAATATCGAAGAGTACAAGAAAGAAGAATATGTTCTAAAATCGATTGTGGTAATGATTGCACAACTCTTCTTGATATGACTGAACTATTGAATGGTAAGGTATGGGGATGAAGTGCCAGTGAAACTGTTAACAGAAAGAAAGACAGTCCCCTCCTTTCCCTCAAGGGCACACAAGGGACATGAAAGGAGGTGGCATGTTATGAAAGAAAATTATGGCAGAAGGATAAATGTAAAACAAATACAATCCTGCCAAGGATCAAGAAACCAAAAACTTGGTGAATGTTCTTCTCAAAGTTTGTTTCACATTCTTTGGTTCCATCTATTCTATGTCTAAGTTCATTCGGTGTAAACACAAACAAGAAAACATCCTGTACTCACCTAGAGTGTTGGTCGCAAAGTTTCTCTCAAGTCCATCTTCTGTGAGCTCTCTCCTATTGACCATGCATCCTGCATTATTGATCTAGAAATTTCAGTTCCCATTTCAAAAGAAAGAAAAGCAGAGCCAAAAGAACTAGTTTCAAATCCCATGTCTCCACCCCCCCCAACCTCGATGGTTGTTTCTGAATGACTCTCGCCCTACAACATGGCCCCTTCTCTTCACAGCACGTCCAGGAAAAGACCACTTGGGCAGAAATCCCAGCTGAACAAGGGTGCAGAGCCCTCTGGGGAGAGAGCACCACCAGATGCCCTTTTGTACAACCAAGTGCTCTGGGAGTTTGTCTAGATTAGCACTGTCCAGTAAGAATAACGTGATTCAAAGTATTCTCGTAGCCACATTCAAATGGCAAAATGAACCAGGTAAAACTCCTATCATAGTATATTTTATTTAATCCAATATATCCAAAATAGTATTTCAACATACACTCAATATGAAATATTAATAAGATATTTTTTCATATTACATGTTTTTAAATCTGTGTTTTACACCTAAAATACATCTCAATTTGACAAAGCTACATTTCAAGTAAGGAGGGCAATGGCAGTTCAGTGGCAGAATTCTCTCTTTCCATATCAGGCCCCGAGATTTGATTCCTGGACAAGACACCTCGTGAGCAGCCACCACTTTGACCATGGAGGCTTGCATGCTGCTACGATGCTGAGCAGCTTTCAGCAGAACTTCTCAACTAAGTTGGACCGGACTAAGAAGAAAGGGCTGGTGATTTACTTCTGAAAACAAGCCAATAAAACCCTATGGACACAATGACCTAATCCACAATGGATCAAAGAGATGGCACAGGTCTGGGCAGCATTTAGTTCCATTGTGCATGGGGTTACCATGAGTCGAGGGCCAACCCAACATGTAGTAACATTTTAAGGGCTCAATAACCAGCCTGGACAGTGCCAGTCCAGACCTCTGCCCAAACAGACATTCTGGAGCACATATGAGTAGAAACCATTAAGACAGAGAATTAGTTTAGGGTCTGACTAGAATATCTGCTCAATTGGGCAAAGAGACACTTTCCCATCTGCATTCTCCTTGGCTCTCCATGGTGTGTTATGTCAATTGTGTTACTAAAGCTGGTGGTGTCTGCAGCAGGCATTTTTGGGGGGGACAAGGTTCTCCCCTTCCCATATCCTCCTCTCTCATAATTGTCATATTATAGTCACCATAGCTGCAGAACTCAGAGATTATATATATGTAAAGTCATTTTATGAAAAATGACCCAAACTTTTCCTCCCACAATACATACCTAGTGTGCAAACACTAAGTAGGAAAGCTCCCTATAAACCTAGCCAACATGCTGGGTTCCCTCTAGAATCAAAGAAGTAAACTTGATTACATGAGCAGGGCTAATTATAAAAGATTCTTATGAAGATTCTGTGCACACGCAATTAGCATACACACGGACAAAAAACACACAATCAGGAGATTTATCTTTGACTTACTGCTACAAAGCTTACCAGAACATTTAGTTTATGTTCCTTCTTGAATTTCTCAGCAAATTTCCAGATGTTCTTAGGATTAGACAAGTCCACAATGTGCAGAAATATATTCTAAAATAGAAAATTACAACGTTTAAGTTTCTAAAACATATATACACACATATATATTATGTATATATATAAATCCATATCCTTTTAATTAAAAATACATGTACATTGTTTTCAAAACTCTAATAGTTCCAAATGACACAAAATGGAAAGCTATAATCACTCCTCAGAAGTAAAGCTAAAGCACAGTTTTCTTAGGAATCCTTCAGAAACATCTTAAGGGTATAAAAATGGTGCGTTTGTTTCTATACAAATGGGATCAGATTATATCCTTCAGTTTTTATTTATTAGTGTATTTGTAGGTATTTTTGTTATATATAAATTTATCATACGCCCTTTAGTTGAGTGTTGTCTAGTGGATTCTGATTCATGTGTGACTGTGTAGCATTTTTGATGGCTGATTTTTCAGAAACAGGATACCAAGACTTTATTCCCAAATTTCTCTGGGTGAATTCCAGCCTCCAACATTTTTGATAGCAGGTGCACTACTGTCAGCAACACCCATAGACTCTTCCTTAAACCCTTGAAGACTGTCAGGTATGTAATTTTTTTGGAGATGTCATATTCCTACTGACAAAAATTTAGAGTTTTGTCAATATTTTGTTCTTTAGATGATATTTAAGGCACATCATAAATGTAAGCTCACAACTTCCTTTGTGATTCTAAACCCTTGCTCGTGATGTCATGTATTATGACAACTGCCTCGGCCACGACATTTAGAATTCCGTGACAAAGGAATCAGCCCCAGTGCTGCCCCTTTCCCCTCATGGTGGTGCACAGAGAGTTATACATGTAGTCAATGATTGAAACATGCTGGCTATTTACAACGTTTCCTCTATGCGCAGCATAGTGCCCGAAGGTGAGACCCGCAGGTTAGTAGACACTCAAAGTATGACAGGGGAAGAGCTGTCTCCTCCTCAAAGTAATGTTCACTGTAATGACAAGGATGGAGTCAAGCTTCAAGGACCTTGATTTTCTGATATGATTCCATTCAAAATAAGAAGAAACAGCTGCAAACATTCACTAAAAATCATTGTGAATCTAGGAAAATTGGGCATTGTCAGAAATTAAATGCTTGAAGAGTGATATCCTAGGTATTAATGAGCTAAAACAGATTTGTATTCAACATTTTGGATTGGACTGTCATATGGTCTACTATTCTAGAAATAACAGACTGAAAAAGAATCGTGTCATATTCATTGTCAAAAAGACCATTTCGCTACTGCCAATGATCAGATAACATGTAAATCCCTACAAGGATACCCAGATAATATGACTATTTTAAGATTTATACGCCAACCACTAATGTCAAATATCAAAGATATTTACCGACATCCAAAGTCTGAAATTGATCAAACACGTAATGAAGATGCATTAGTAATTACTGAAAGAAGGGTCATAGTTGGAGGTTATGGCCTTGGGGAAAGAAATGGCACCAGAAATCTCATAATAGAATTTTGCAAGACCAACAATTTGTTCATTGGAAACACCTTGTACCAACAACATACACATGACTCCACACCTCGCCTCACCAGATGGAATACACAAGAATCAAATCGAGTATATCTGTGGAAAGATGACAGAAAAGCTCAAAAAGATGACGGAGAAGTCAGAATGAGGCAAGAGATGACTGTGCAACAGACCATCAATTACTCAAATCACTCAGCTAGTTCAAGCTGGGGCTGAAGAAGAGTAAAACAAGCCCTTGAAAGGCAAAAGAAGACCTGGAGTATATTCTACCTGATTTTGGATACCATCTCAAGAGTAGATTTTACACATTAAGCACTAGTGACCAAAGACCAGACAAGTTGTAGGGTGACATCAAAAACACCATACATAATTGCGCTTGATCTGACCCAGCCATGCCAAGGCAAGGCACTTGGGGGGGCGGGGGGGTGCAGTGGAACAGCAGGGGAGGGGAG